TGGAAGAGGGGGCTGCTGTCCTTGCGCCCGTAAAACATTTCTGCGTGCTAGTATCAGAGAAGCTGGTTTCGTCAATGCAGCCGCTTGAGACTGCCGTGTCATGGGAGTAAAGACTTGTGGAGGGCCAGGCGTGGCTGGAATAGGAGTAAGGATGTGTTTTCTCGAGCTGTCCTATGAACCGAGTGGAATTGCTCACCTGTGTGAGCAGTTGCTGGTTTTATACTTGCAGTAATGGTTTTTTAGAATCTGACCTGTTTGTGGGACCGCCAGTTTACTGCAAGGGGAATATTTCCCATGGATTTGAGAGGGCTCATGCTTATGCCTTTGTTCTTTCTAAAGTTGAAGCACTGTTTTTTGTCCTAATAAAATAAGAATTCAGAGTAATAAGGAGAAGGGCTATGTAGAGCCAGATGTTGAAAGGTATTGCGTAGCACCAACTTACAGTTCAGAGTTTGATTTTCTTGGTGCTGATGTTGGCACCAGATCCATTAAAATGATTTTTCTCAGCTGCCTTGATATTGGCTGTGTCAACAGCGGGACAGTACAACAAACAAACTAGCACAATGACAAAAGACTTTAGCGAACAAATAAAATGGCAATTTTCCTCAAGCAAACACATAAGTAACAGTGCAGCCATTGGTGATGGTACTGTGCTGAACTGAGCTATGAGAGTTTTCTTTCAAATCAAACAGCTGATTTACTAATGTTATTTTTTTAAATAAGCATATTATTGTTTTCTAATAAGTAAGGACACTTATTAAACCTGTCCTTGATTGAGGACCCACGTGAGGGTTAGGCTGAGAAAAAAAACAGCTACCTCAAAAGCCCGGCCCTGCAAGGTTTGTACGCTGGTATGGGACTGTTCCTTGGAAACAGTGAACTTCTGGTATTTCAGGACTGTTTTGCACCTGTAGTACTCAAGGGGAGATAAGTTTCAAGGGTGGCTCTGTGGAAGGCAAGGCGATTTGTCCCTAATATGGATCAGGGCTTCATTATCTGTCTGTTTTCATTGTTGGGTAGTCTGAGGGTGGGGAGGTCTGTGTAAAGCGATAACGTTCACTCGAAGGCTTGGTCCGTTTCCTCACTTCTGATCTGATTCTGCTCTTTGGCAGCAGAGGATGCTGTTGAAGCTGCTGAAGCTCTGCAAGTAAGAAGGGAAGGAGACCTCTGAGCTGGGCTCTCTTCTGCCGTCAGCTGGAGGACAGGATCCCTGATGAGCCGGGAGACCTGAGCCCCTGGTGGCAGGAGCGAGGGAAGGAGTGTGTCATTATTTGCAGGAGAGATCTGTGGCTGAGGGAGAAGGGCATGTCCCGGTTTCAGCTGGGACAGAGTTAATTTTCTTCCTAGTCGCTGGTACAGCGCTGTGTTTTGGATTTAGTATCAGAATAATGTTGATAACACACCGATGTTTTAGTTGTTGCTAAGCAGTGCTCACACTAGTCAAGGACTCTTCAGCTTCCCATGCTCTACCAACTGAGAAGGCTGGAGGTGCACAAGAAGCTGGGAGGGGGCACAGCCAGGACAGCTGACCCCAACTGGCCAAAGGGACATTCCATACCATGGGACGTCATGCTCAGTACATAAACTGGGGGAAAGCTGGCCGGGGGGGCCGCTGCTCGGGGACTGGCTGGGCATTGGTCAGCGGGTGGTGAGCAATTGCACTGTGCATCACTTGCTTTGTATATTATTATTATTATTATTACTATTATTACTAGGATTTTATTCTATTTCAAATATTAAACTGTGTTTCTCAAGCCACGAGTTTTCTCACTTTTACCCTTCTGATTCTCTCCCCCATCCCACTGGGGGCGGGGGGAGTGAGCGAGCGGCTGGGTGGTGTTAAGTTGCCGACTGAGGTTAAACCACGACAGTGCTTTATTATAGTTCTTCCTCTGAGAGACTTTTTTATGGAGGAGATACAGAACGGCAGCGTCACTACCTTCTTCTATGATGTTTCCTCCTTCATTACAGTAACTTTTCAGTATCTTGAACACCCTTGGGTAGTTAAGATACTTCTATTGGTATCTCTTGGGAATATTGTTTCGGTTTTGTCTAAGGTTAATAAGCAATTTAAGAATATCATCCAGAGATCTGCCCCAAGGCTGGATAGTTATGAGTGGAAGGGTGTGTGGGACAAGATGGGCAAGTACCTAGGCCAATGGGCACCCCCAGTGTTTTGGACTGATGTTTTAGTTGTTGCTAAGCAGTGCTTACACTAGTCAAGGACTTTTCAGCTTCTCATGCTCTACTGACTGAGAAGGCTGGAGGGGCACAAGAAGCTGGGAGGGGGCACAGCCAGGACAGCTGACCCAAACTGGCCAAAGGGACATTCCATACCATGTGACGTCATGCTCAGTACATAAACTGGGGGAAAGCTGGCCGGGGCGGGGAGGGGGCACTGCTCAGGGACTGGCTGGGCATTGGTTGGCGGGTGGTGAGCAATTGCATTGTGCATCACTTGCTTTGTATATTATTATTATTAGGATTTTATTCTATTTCAATTATTAAACTGTCTTGATCTCAACCCACGAGTTTTCTCACTTTTACCCTTCCGATTCTCTCCCCCATCCCACTGGGGGCGGGGGGAGTGAGTGAGTGGCTGTGTGATGCTCAGTTGCCGACTGAGGTTAAACCACGACAGGGCAGTACCATCTTAGGGGCTGTGGTAAGTCTGCTTAATTTGGCTGCACTAAGCAGCTCTTTCCCCAGTTCTTTATCCAGGGCTGGCTGTGATAGCTCAGTTTCTTCTTGAAGTGTATTCACTGGATTTACCTAAACATTTTCATGATAACCAGTGTGCATTGTGCACTTCCATGCTACTTACTGTAGTAAAGCTCTATGCTTTGAGTGCTATAATGGAAAAAATAAATAAATGCTGAGGCCAAAAGACATGTAAAATGCATTCATGTTGATGAGCATTTAATGATTTTTCTCTATTAGGTTGAGTGCAAACTTTGATTGATAACATCTGGTAATTCAGCTGGATGTGACCTCTGGAGGTCTCTAGTTCAACCCCAGGGGTTCACCGTTCCCAGGCTGGATGAGGTTGCACAAGGCCTTCCTTGTCCGGCTGCATTTGAAAAACCTCCTCCCCCGTCGTGCCGGGGCTCCAGACCCAGCACTCCACCACCCTCACTGGGAAGAATTTTTTTCTCGTATCTAGTGAGAATTCCCTTTGCCATATACTTTCTCTTTGCAGCAGTGAGGAAGGTGCAATTAGCAGACAGGGCACCAAAAACAACACCTTGCACAGGAGAGGTTTTTTGTAGCCCTGTTTATATGCGTACAACCAAATTGTGCTGGCCAGTAAAACCAGCATTGTAGAGAGTAGCTCAAGCTTCCTTTTCAGTGTTTGAACTACTGTGCTTCACCACATTATTGCAGCTTCCCTCTCTCTACAGTACTGAGACTAGGAGCACGTACTGATGTGTGTGAGATGCTCAACAGCAATAAGAGGCAAGAAAATGACAGCTTACATTTTGATCTGCATTTTCAGTGCATGGTGTTGGTATGAAGGGTGGGGGCTTTCAGCTTGTGTGTGTGCTGCTGAGTTTCTGTGCTCTTCTGTTTCTTTGGAAAAAAGGAAGAGGAAAAAGGCACTCAGAGCTTAGATCAAAGCCAGAAGGAAAACCTGGAATTGGTTCTTGCATTTGCTTGAACAAGAATTGAATCTGAGGAAATGTACCTTACCCTTTTTTAGCGGGCTAGGTGAAATTCCAAGGTCTTGACTTCCCTTTGAAATCTCCACGTCAATTTTTAAAGTCTGACTGAAAACTTACATGGTGAGATGACTTTGAATATTGTATCACTTAGTGGGTCATCCATTTTCATACCTGCATGTGTTGTGGTAGTGGGTCTTGTGGTGGGTTTTGTTTTCACTGAGAGTGAAGTCATTTAGATTTGCTTTGTAGCCAAAACCTCTACTGATGCAAATGGGTGTGATTCTAGAGAAGGTTGTAGGGCTACAGTGATT